CAGATTCCATCTGCAGGAACCTGACTGGGAAACTTATCTAAAGTGGAAAACCGCCAGAGGTTTCACTCGGTCTGAAGCCGATCAGCTCTCGTTCCTACAGACGTTCGACTTTAAGGAAAAACGGAGAAAAACAAAATTCCAGGATGGGATTAGAACATCTAAACCAATTCTTTTGTCCAATATTTTAATTTTAAACTAAATTCTTGTTTCTATTTAATTTCCTAACTGATCCGGTCCTGCTTAATCCCACTGGTTCTAATCCCCAAATAAAAGCAGCTAATCGGAACCTGATCATCTAAAACTGATCAAATAAAAACTTTTACCGGTTTCTGCTCCTCAGATCTTCAGCAGCTCCGTCATTCTTCGTCCTGCTGCCTCCAGCTGCTGCCTCTCTCTGGGTGCTGCTCGCTCGGCCCCTCTCATCTGTTGGGGGACGACAGCGGGAGGGCGGAGCTTAATGAGTTTCAGCACACAGACTTTCCTTTTGTTCCCCCCCCCTTCCATGACGTTCCCGCTCTCAGTCCAGACCTCTGGTGTTTATTTTGGTTTTGAGGAATGCCGAGACATTTTCTCCTGCTTCGGCTCTGCTGATCCGAGACTGGCAGCAGAGCCGGGATCATCGGCTGGAGAACATCAGCATCTCCAAACCGTCGGCTCCTCGACATTCCGTGTCAGTCAGAATGTTCCCGGTTCACACTCCGAGTCGGTTTCATTAGAACCTGGATGTGATTTACAGCATTTCCTCTCAGGTCTGCATCCTCCTCTTCTTCTGCAGAAAGGTCAGAGGTCACAGAGAGCTCGAGGCTCGGGCTCTAACAACCCGCTGGAGTGGGGCGACGCCCATCCTGTCCCTGAAGAGGAAGAAGCAGCAACACAATGCACCGCTGACCCTCAAACACATCCCTGACCTTTGACCTCTCCCACTCAAACCTCGACAGCCGGAACGCTCCGACTTGCAGAGACGAGTTTTAATCAGGAGAGAAGTTATTTCCCACCAAAGCTGCAGTTCAGAGAACGTTTCCGGTGTTCCTAAAGTTCTGGAAGAAAAAACTTGCTTCACTTCTTCCTGTAAACACGCAATCAGTGGTCCAACAGAACCGGGTCATTCTTCATCAGAACATAACGGTCTGAGGCGAGACCCACGGAGCCGTTCGTAGTCAGTGGACTAGCCGTTAGCTCATCAGTCCTATGGGACGTCAGCTGCTCAGGTGGGACAGGAAGTGATGACTCAGGTGAGGGTTGACTGTGAGTAGAACCCAGACTTTATGGTTCTGCTGTTGGAGTTAATCTGGAGTTAAACTAAACCAAACAAGTTAAAATACCCGATTAGAATAAATTATCCCCCCCGTCCCATCAGCCATCTGCCGGCTCCCGGGAGCGCCCCCCCCATTCTTCCTACACAATGACCCCCAGCAGCATACTGAAACCATCCAGCTGATGTCATTGATGCAGCCTGAAGTCCTGCGGTTCTGGAGGGAGAATGCCACCTGTTCTGAGCTGATCCGATTCTTCAGGAGGAAAATGTTCTGATCCAAAACAAGGTTCTGGTTTCTGCAAGAATAAACCAGACCACATTGGTTCTGTTGAGCACAAACAGGAAGTCCAGATCAGCTGTTAACAGCAGAACACTGGAACGCCGCCCAGGGCCTCCAGAACCAGAACATCTCAGCGGTTTTATCTTTTTATACAAAAATGTCTGCCGTATCTCCTCTAAAAGAAATTCTGATGTTTTAAGTTCTTCACGTTGAAAGAAAAGCTGATCATGGTTCTGGTTCTGGTTCCTGAGCCACTGTGGTTCCAAACCTCCAGCCAACACCAGTTTAACTCTTTACTGGTTCTGATGGACTTCGCTCCTCCTGCAGAAGCTTTAAAGTCCAGAAAACCAGAAGATGCTCCTCTGATTCATCGACCCGCATGTTCTCCTTGAGAGTGATGGAGACAGAAGGAGGGCGAATGGGAGGGGGTCACAAAGAGGGAGTCTGAGAAGGACGAGGCAGGAGCTGCAGTCAGCAGAATCGTTCTCCTCATCAAGGAGGTGTGGCTGGGGGGGGGGGGGGGGGTTCCTGTTGGGTTGACTGGGGTCCTTGTCCAGGACTAAGGAGGATGGGCGGAGCCCTGAAGACCCAGGAGGTGTGTTGGGTTTGGTGTGGTCCAAGTTACTATTTTCCCTCAAAAGAATGAGGTGCTAGTCTGGAGCGTGTGGAGCTCCAGTGACAGAATTAATCTGGGAGGAGACAACGCAGACCTTCACAGGCTTGTCGGGAGGTCCACAGCCCGGTTTAACGTTTATGGTTCCAGTCCTCCGGTTAATCGACTAAGAATTCCTGGACGCTAGGGGACAGAGACAGACCGGGTCCTCCAGCCTGCTGTGGCCCACAGTCATGTCAAGAAGAAGAAGGATCTTCTACATCTAAAGATAAAAGTCAGGAGGTGCTTCTCAAAACAAAACTAAACAAAAACGATTAAAAAAATATTGTAATTAAATTGTTGTTAAATCCTCTTCCAAGCAGTCCAGAACCAGCTGCTGATGGTTCTGGACACATGAACATCACCTGTGACCACCAGCATGGCGCGGTGGGTTAGAACTGTTCTAGACTGGTTTAGATCGTACCTTTCGTACCAGTGTCTGTAGAAACCAGATCATGTCAGATTCTACTGATCTGTACTGTGGGGTACCCCAAGGCTCTGTTTTGGGTCCACTGTTGTTTCTGCTGTACATACACCCTCTTGGACAGATAATTGATTCTTTTCATAATGTCTTACTGCTCCATATCTCCAAACTGTGAAGGTTGGTGTTCAAACATGAACCTGAAATGGTTCTCCAGGCCTTTATCTCCTCCCGTCTAGATTACTGTAACACACTCTTCACATGTTTTAACAAAAAAGCCCTTGACCGCCTTCAGTTGGTCCAGAACTCTGCAGCGAGGCTCCTAACTGGAGCAAACAGAAGAGCTCACATCACTCCTATTCTGATGTCTCTGCACTGGTTACCCGTTAACTTTAGAGTTCATTTTAGAGTCCTGATTATAACCTTCAGGGCTCTACATGGTCAAGCTCCTCCCTATATCACTGACCTGTTGAAGCCTTTTGCTCCAACCCGAGCCCTCAGGTCCACCCACCAGAACCTTCTAGAAGTTCCAAAGACCAGATACAAAGTGGAGGTGATCGCTCCTTCCAGACTGTTGCACCCCGACTCTGGAATGATCTTCCTTTATCCTTAAGCAGCGTTGACAGTCTGGACACTTTTAAAAAACAGCTGAAGACCCATTTATTTAAAGCTGCTTTCACCTAAACTTTTTATTTTCTTATCTTTTACTCAAATGTTTAATCTTTCATTTGTTTTATGGTATTTTATCATTTTATGACTTTATTTTTCTGATTTTAATCTATTTCTGTTTAGAGATAATTATGATTTATTTTGAGCTATGTGAAGCACTCCACAACACAACACAACACAACACAACACAACACAACACACACACACACACCCACACACCCACACACCCACACACCCACACACCCACACACACACACACACACACACACACACACACACACACACACACACACACACACACACACACACACACACACACACACACACACACACACACACACTTCAGCCTGACCGGTGGATCTAATCCGATCTGGTTTAGTTAACCAGCTCGGGTCATCTTCAGGTCACCACTAAACTGATAACAGATCAGATTTTAGGTACTGCCTGTTGGGACTCAAACTACAAACCTGAACAGGATCGCATCATTAGCTCCAGTTTGCTCTGCATTAAACTGGATCATTTAAATCTGTAATCTGATATTTATCAGATTATTTAATCTAGTTTAATTTCACTCAAACAAACAAGTTGATTTATAGATAAAAATGTTAAATAAAGCTAAATGAGACAAAAAGATGAAATTTTATCAGATCAAAACTTTGATCTTTTATAAAATAAAACTAAAAGTGTATGAGTTTCAGCAGATTTAATCTGTCGGATTAAAGTTCATTTTTAATTTTACAGACTGACACATGGAGACATGCTGCAGACAGACAGGTCCAAAGATCAGAGACATCGGTGGAGGACAGGAGCAGGAGGACACGTGTCCATGAAGACCGAATGAACTCAAAGCTTCAGGTCTTTATAAAAAGGTTTGAAAGATAAATTTGGATCGATTGAAGCTTTTCTTTATCTCTTTATCCTGATAAAAGTGAATCTGCGTCTCCAGCAGCTCCCAGATCAGATTATAGGGACACCATGGGCCCCCCCAGGGACCCTCAGAGATGCAGCAGCATGTTTGTCACCACAGGAAACATCGACTGGGCCAACAAAAGCAGAACCTGAGCAGCGCCTCCGTGTTCCACAATTTGGTTCTTTTGTTCTTTAGAGACTCTGCGGAGCGAGCAGGAGGAGAGCGTCCCCCGTCTATTCAGACTCCAGATGCTGCTGTTAGACCCCCCCCCCCCACCCCAAAAGACATGGCTGCTCTTCCAAAGACAAAGAAACTTTAACAGATGAAACAAAGAAATCCACTAAAATGAGGATTTAACTAATGAAAATGGCCTCACTCCTCCTTGAACCGTCACCTTATCATGGTGGAGGAGTTTGAGTGCCCTAATGATCCTAGGAGCTATGTTGTCTGGGGCACTTTGTACCCCTGGTAGGGTCTCCCGTGACAAATTGGTCTTAGGTGAAGGGGAAGACAAAGAACGGTTCAGAGGATCTTTCATGGATGTAAATTCAAAGAGTCGGAGTACCCAGCCCCGAGGGTTATCGGGGACCCACCCTGGAGCCAGGCCTGGGGTTGGGGCCCGTGAGCGAGTGCCTGGTGGCTGGGCTTTTGCCCATGGGACCCAGCCCGAACCGGATACATGGGCTCATCCAACCATGGACCCACCACCTGCAGGAGGAACATGAAGGGTCCGGTGCAGTGTGGATTGGGTGGCAGACCGAGGCGGGAGCCTTGGCGGTCCGATCCCTGGACAACGAAACTGGTTTTTGGGACATGGAACATCACCTCGCTGGCGGGGAATGAGCAGGAGCTTGTGGCAGAGGTTGAGCGGTACCGGCTAGATATGGTTGGATTCACCTCGACACAAAGAATTGGCTCTGGAACCCAAGTCCTTGAGAAGGGTTGGACACTCTCCTTTGCTGGAGTTGCTCCGGGTGAGAGGCGGAGGGCTAGGGTTGGCTTTTTGTTAGCCCCAAGACAATCTGCCTGTGTGTTGGGGTTTACCCCGGGGGACGAGAGGGTAGCTTCCCTGCGCCTTTGGGTCGGGGAATGGGTCCTGACTGTTGTTTGTGCTTATGGGCCAAATATCAGTTCAGAGTACCCACCCTTTTTGGAGTCCCTGGGACGAGTGCTAGATAGTGCTCCACCAGGTGACTCCATTGTCCTGCTGGGGGACTTCAATGCTCACGTGGGTAA